TAACCTTATTTAATCCTTTATGATTTCTCTTTTTTATTTATATTTTATTACTTCTCTTGAGTCTTGGATTTGAAAGTCAAATTTTCTATTCAGCTCTGGTATTTTCATCAGGAATGCTTGAACATTCTATATTTCATTAAATATCGATTTTCCTCCTGAAGGATTATACTCAGTTTTGCTGGGTAGGTGATTTCTTGATTGCAATCCTAGCTCCTTTGCCCTCCAGAATGTCATATTCAGAAATCTCCACTCTTTTAATGTAGAAACTGCTAAATCTTGTGTTATCTTGACTGTGGCTCCATGATATTTGAGTTGTTTCTTTCTGGCTGCTTGCAATATTCTCTCCTTGACCTGGGAGCTCTGGAATTTGGCTATAATATTCCTGGGAGTTTTCCTTTTGGGATCTCTTTCAGAAGGTAATCAATGGTTTCTTTCAATTTCTATTTAGCCCTCTGGTTTAAGGATACTATGGCAGTGGTTCCCTAAAACTTTATTGAAATAGGATGTCTAGGCTCTTTTTTGTTTATCATAGCTTCTGAGTCAGTTGTTCTTCCAATAACATTCTTTACTTTTTCTTCAACTTTTTCATTCTTTTAATTTTGTTTTATTGTTTCTTGATGCCTTGTGGAATCATTAGCTTCCACTTGCCCAATATAATTTTTAAGGAAATATCTTCTTCAGTGAATCTTTGTACTTTTTTTCCATTTGAGCAGTTCTACTTTTCAAGGAATTCTTTTCTTCAGTGAATGTTTGTACATCTTTTTTCCATTTGGCCATTTCTGCTTTTTAAGGAGTTCTTCTCCTCAGTGAAATTTTTGACTCTTTTATCATTTGACCTATTCTGTTTTTCAGGTATTTTTATGTCTCCTTTATCAAGCTGTTGACTTTTTTTCCATGATTATCTTATATCACTCTCATTTGTTTTCCCAATTTTTCCTCTACCTCTCTTATTTGATTTTTAAAATCCTTTTTGAATTCTTCCAGGAATTCTTTTGGGCTGAGACCAAATCACACTTTTCTTTAAGGCTTTAAATGTAGCTCTTTTTAACATTATTTTCCTCTTTTGAGTTTGTGTTTGGATCTTTCTTCTTGTCACAGTCTCTTTCTATAGTCAGGTTCTTTTTTGTTGTTTACTCATTTTTATATCCTATTTCTTGACTTTTAGCTTTATGTTAAAATTGGACTCTGCTGCCAGGATGGAAGGGGCACTATCCCAATCTTTAGGGTTTTTATGATTTTTTTTTGTTCTGTGTTTTCAGAGTTAGTTTTAGGCATCTGTAAGTTTTTAGTTCTTCCATGGTGGTATGATCTAAGGAGAGGTGTGGCCACTGCTTTCTTGGCCTACATTCTGGTCTATGAGTGACCACAAGCACTCTTTTCTGCCCTAAATCTATGACCAGGGTGCCTGCTCCCCTGTGGCCACACACTCTACAGTGCTAGTGCTCCTCCTCACTCTGAGATTGTAACCCAGAATTATGTATGATCAATGCAATAGAGTCATTCTGGGCCCCCTGCACTGTACTGTGCTCAGTTCTCACCTCCATGAAATAGACCTTTCCTGCCAACCTTCTAAGTTGTCTTGGGCACCCCATCCTTTTGTTGGTTCTGAAGCTCCAGAATTCATTTTGAGACATTCTTTTAAAGTTGTTTGGAGGGAAATTTTAGGAGAGCTCTGGCAAGTGACTGCCTTTGCTCTGCCATCTTGGCTCCACCCCTCAGGACCAGCTTTTGACCTGTCCAAATCAGGAAGTAAAAATCAACTTGTTTGATTTATTGAATGGCAAAAGATCTCATTTTCTCAGGTGACTGGTAGTTCTAGTATTATCTGAATATGGTAGCCTATCAGAAGTTCGATATACTAAAAAAAAAAAACCAGATTGAAATCTCATCTCTGACATAGGCTACCTGAGTAACCTTAACCTCTCTGGGACTCAGTTTCCCCAACAGTAAAATAAGTAAGTTGGTCTAGACCTCTGAGGTCCCTTTCATCTCTGAATCAATTATGTTAGACACAATAATAATAGGTTCTTTTGAAATGTCTTCTTTTGTAAATTAGTATTATTCTCCCAAAAAAGTACCAAAATAAAATATCTTTGTATCAATGATGTCTCAATACTATACTGATAAACTTTACTTTAGTTACAGAACAATGCCTTGTTTCATAGAGTTTTAGAGTAAGAATGTACATTACAACAAATTAAATGTAAGGCCAGAGTTGAATCAATTTTTCAATCAGTGAGCCAGTCAATGAACATTTATTAAGCACCTGCTTAGGGCCAGGTACTATACTAAGCACTAAGGATACAAAAAGAGGCAAAAGATAAGCCCTGCCCTCAAGGGGCTTAAATCTTAAATTTTAAAATATAAAATGTCAGAATTGGAAGCAGCCTTCAGACACCTTCTAGTCTAACATGTTCATATCAGAGAAGAGGAAATGGATCTCAGAGAGGAGTTACTGACCCAAGGGCACACTTGGTCAATGGCTCAGGTAAGACTTGAACCTAAGTTCTCCATCTTCCAATCCAGTCCTCCCACCCATCTCCACCATAATGCTGCTTCGATCAGGTAGCAAAGACAATGGCTGAGTATTCTCTCTCTTGACTACAGCAAAGTTTTTAGTCCCCTGACAATTAAAACCTATGTTTTCATTATGGAAAGATGGACAATCATGTTCTACTCTGCAGAAACATCATTATTCCCTTGTCAAGGAGGTAGGAGGACAAAAAAGAGGGGCTTTGGGGCAGAGTTCAGAAGTCATTAGGTTTTCAATTAGAGGACCTGTGGTTTCATCTCTGCGCATCCACTGAGTACCCTTGCCCCACCATGGGCAAATGACCTTACTTCCCAGAGCCTCATCTGAGAAGGAGATAATTGTCCACCTCACAAAGTGTGAGGGTCTAGTGAAATCATATATGTGAAACTACTCTGTACCCTGAAGGGGATACTAAGGTAATAGAGAAGTGATTTCAAGCCTTCATTTTGTGATCTATCCAAAGTGCCTCCTGTTATTTCAAAGAACGTCCTGAAATTCTTAAAGAAGTCCTCCAAACAGGAATGAATTTCAAGTGATTTTTTAAAAAATTAATTATAACATCATAGATGGAAGAGACTTCAGAGGGCATTGGATCCAACCCTCTCATTTTACAGATGAGGAAACTGAAGTATTAAGAGACTTTCCCAGGGTCACATAGCTAATAAGTGTCTGAGGTAGAATTTGAACCCTGATCCTCCTGACTCCAAGTCTAGTGCCCTATTCTCTATGCAATATGGTCTCTCATTTAAAGAGTTATATTGGGGGCAGCTAGGTGGTGCAGTGGATAGAGCACCGACCCTGAAGTCAGGACAACCTGAGTTCAAATCCAGCCTCAGACCAAACACTTGACACTTACTAGCTGTGTGACCCTGGGCAAATCACTTAGCCCCAACTGCCTAAAAAAAAAAAAAGAGTTATATCCCTTTTAGAAATCGAAAGCATCATCAGCCATACAAGCATAGATTTAGTTCTGAAAGGAACACTAGTGGTCATCTGGTCCAACCTTTCATTTCATAGATGATGAAACTAAAGCCCAGAGACACTAAATGAGTTGCCCAGTTCATACAGATGATAAGTGGCAAAACTGGGATTCAAACTTAGGTCTTGGCATGCTAAATTCAATTGCCAAGTTCAGCATTCCTTCCACTGTGCTCCACTACTCTGATTTATTCAGTCAGCCATTCAACATGGGCTTCATGAATGCTTCTTATATTCAGAATCCAGTTCTAAGTCCTGGGAGAGATCAGGAGGAGAATGAGATCCTGACCTGAAGAGCTAATAATAATAACTTATATTGATCTTCTGGGCTAAAGAACACTTCCACATCCATTATCTGAGGCAGCTAGAGGGAATTTAGGGTCAGAAAGTTCTCTGCCTCAGTTTTACTTTCTGTAAAATTTGTATTATAATTGAATCAACTTCACGGGGTTGTTATGACAATCAAGATAACATATTATAGTACTTTGTAAACCTTATAAATGTCATATATATTTACATTTATTATATACCTAGTTAAAACAATTAAATTATAATTAAATATAATTACATGTCAATTTAATATTAATTAATTTGATTAAAATTTGTTTATGCTAGTTATAATTACTATTATCTCATGTGATTTTTTTTTTTTTATGAAGCAATTGGGGTTGAGTGACTTGCCCAGAGCCACACAGCTAGTAAGTGTCAAGTGTTTTGGTCTGAGGCCAGATTTGAACTCAGGTCCTCCTGACTTCAGGGCCAGTGCTCTATCCACTGTGCCACCTAGCTGCCCCTATTTCATGTGATTTTCATAAGAACTTTGTGAGGTAGGCAGGGCAGAGATTCATGTCCCCAGAGTTCGTGCTTTGCTGGTATAGACATTATTAATACTATTACCAGTATCATTTATTACTAAGGAGATATAGTTTGCTCTAGAAAAGAGAGACCTACCCTCAAGGTCATGATGACCTGGGTTCAAGTCCCAGCTCTGTAATATCCTGGCTGTGTGACTCTAGGCAAGTCACTTAACCTCTCAGTGTCCCAGGAAACTTTCTAAGAACCGTTGCTGATCTGCATTAGTAAAGTGAGTTTACTCGCTAGAGATCTCTCGACACTGATGAAATCATAGACTTGGAAAAATAATAATATTAAAGCTCATATTCATCTATCAGTCAACTTTTAAAAAGTGCCTGCTATGTTCCAGGCACTTTGCTAAGCCTGTTTAAGTACTCTTATGGTTTGCAAGTCAATTTACATAATTCTTACTTGGTTCTGCTTCTGAGATGCAGAACACAATTTTTTTTTCCCCTTATTTTCTAGATGAGAAAATGGAGACTCAGAGAGGTATGGTATGGCGACTTTCCCAAGTCACATAGCAAGTACATGTCCAAGCTAGAGCTCATACTGAGTCCTTCTGACTCCCATCCCAGGGCTCTTTCCAATTAAGCCACAGCAGTCTCTGCAAGAACCTCTCTCTCATCTGCTGTAGGTACCGGAAAGTAGTGTCTAATGTCTGTGAAGGTGGTGTGGACCTGCAGCGGTATGTGTTCCAGCATCAGTGTCCGCTGACAGCCCCCAGAGGATTGCGAGTCAGCATCAAAGGAGAGACAGTCGCTGTGAAGCCAGGAGAGGACGTCACATTTGTGGTCAGACAGGAGCAGGTAAGTGAGTCGTTATGTTCAGCCTTCCTGTGGTGCTCCTGGAGGTTGGAATAATGATGTGGCTCACCTTTGAACTCTCCAGTTTTCATAGCAGTCTAGCTGCCAAGGAAAATATGGAAGGACTCTTTAGCAGCTGGAGGGTCTAGGTTTTCATTCAAGTGGGACCAAAGTCAAGTCACACCATTTGGCTGAAGATTCAGCTTCTCAATCCCATTCAACAAACATGTATTAACTACCTGCTGTGTGCAAAGCCTTGTGGTAGTCACAGATAGACATGGCACAGAACAGACCTTCAAAGGATCTACCACCTTAATAGACAGGTCCAACATAATGAGCACAATACAAGACAGAATGTGACGACAAAAGAGAGATCTAGCCCAAGTCCTCCCAGAAAACGGAATGAAAGAGAGCTTAGTTTCAAAGTTATAACAGAGAGGGAGAGAAACCTACTGGAAGGAGATGAGAATTCCAGGAGGTGAGAATTCTGGGAACACTGGAAATTAGGGCTAATAATAATTGACCTTTATCCAATATTTAATGGTTACAAAACATTGTGTTGCATGATTTTTTTCGTGCTTATGACACCCCTATGAGGTAGGCAGTGAAAGTTTTATCACCTCCATTTTACATATGGGGAAATTGAGGCATGGAAAAGTAAAGTACTTTGTTCAATAAATGGAAGAGGTAGGATGCCAACCCATGCTTTCAGACTGCAAAGCCAGTGTTCTTTCCACTGTATCAAAGAAAGCTACTTATGAAGGGATACAAAATGGTACAGTAGAAAGAGTACTGAATTTTGAGTCAGATGATCTGGGTTCAAATCCTAGACCTGCTGCTTCTTATCTACACAACCTTAGGCAAGTCCGCATAATCACTTGGGGCCTCAGTTTCCTCATCTTTAAAAATGATGAGTTTGGACTAAATGCTCTCTCCGTTCCTTTCCATCATCAGATCACTGTCCTGTGATCCTCCAGGACCTGACCTCACTTTCATTGTATTAGCATAGATTTTAAGAATCTCTGCACTTCAGAATTAGAGGAGGATGTTAGTAGTGGAGTAAAGCCTATATGTTTTATTATATACCTATATTTTTCTCATTTCAAAATCAGTTAACAAGCATTTATTAAGCACCTTCTATATACCACCCATTGTGCTAAGTGATAGGAATACAAAGAAAGGTAAAAGGTCCATACTGTTAAGGAGCTCCCAGTCTTTTGAGAAAGAAAACATTCACAGTGCCACATACAGACAAGATTTTTACAGGAGAAATTGAAGAAAATCACAGAGGGAGGGTGCTAGGATTAAGGGGAATCAGCAAAGACTACTTGTGGAAGGTGGGACTTTATCTGAGACCTGAAGGAAGCCAGATAGGAGGAAGCGTTCCAGGCAAGGGACACCACATGGGAAAATGACACTGGGGAGTTGGGAGATGGAGCATCTTGTTTGAAGTGTATTAAGGAGGCTAGAGTTTGGCCAGTTTGGTTTCAGAGATATAGCTTATATTTGAGAGGGAGAGGGATCCGATATTCATAATAACATAGTAGATCTCCTCCATTGAGACGCAGTATGGTATAGCCAGCCTTGGAGCCAGGAAGACCTGAGTTAAGTCCTACCTTGACATGGACTCTCTGTATGACCCTGGGTAAGTCACATGACATCTCAGAGAACCAGGCAAAAACTACAAGTGACAAAGATGATGCTGACCTGCATTGGTGGAGAGAGTTTCCTGACTTGGGAGTTCATTAGGCAAATGAAAACACAGGTCCAATCTCTATCCCTCTCCCTATTCCCTGATTACTCTGATATTGCTAGAGGGAAATGGTAGGGTTATTCTCTCACTCTCTATTGACATGTTCAGTTCCTTTCACTCTTCATCATTCTGATTCTATTAAGGAACAGGCATAACCTACTTTCAGGGGGATTGGGTCTATATTTTGAATGAACTGGTACTTTTATTCCTTGGCTTCCAAATACTCTGGAGTCTCACCTATCACTTTCATTGCCACGGACAGCTGCCAAAATATATCTCTGGCTAGTAATGATAAAAGAAAAAGATTTCCATAATGTAGTGGAAACACTTGATTTCTAGTCAGGAGACCCCACTTTGAATGCTGACTCTGCAACTGGCTATTTGCATGATCTTTGGCCAGTCATTTCACCTCAAAGGATCTCAGATTGAGAGGGACTTTAGAGGATACAGAGTCCAGCTCATACCTGAAAAAGAGTCTTCTCTACTCTGCTTCAACAAGTGGTTAACCATCTTTAACAACTCAGGTGATAAGGTTCTTACTACCTCCTAAGGCATTAATTGACATTCCACTCCTGGAGAGTTCTCATTATTAAGTTTTCCCTTGCATTTATAATGATAACATTTAAAATTAATTTAATTGAAATTTAATGATAGTATTTAAATAGTGTTTTAAGGTTTGCAAAATGCATTGTATGTGTTATCTCATTTGGTCCTCACAAAAGCCCTATGTGTGTGTGGGGAGGGGGAGAGGGTGCTGTTATCATTCCCGTTTTATAGATGAGGAAACTAAGTCCCAGAGGGTGAATTGAGTTACTCAGGATCACACTAAAGCTAGTGTCTGAAGCAGGATTTGAATGCAGGTCTTCCTGGCTTCAAATCCAGAAGTCTGTATACTGTGTGATCTGACCACCTAAATGAATTCTACTTAGCCCCAGACTGTAGACCTAGAAACAATGGGCAGAAAGTATGGATAGACAGATTTCAGCTCAATATTAAGTGGTTCCCAGTAATCAACACTGTACAAAAAAGAGGCTGCCTCTGTGAATGTAACAAGTACTCTGTCACTGGAGACCTTCTAGTGGGTGCTAGATGAATGCTTATCAGGTATCACATAAAAGAGATTTGTTTTTTATAAAGTGGTTGGACTAGATGATCTCAGAGCCCCCTTCAAGTGTCAGCATTCCACATGTTTCTTGCTCTAATTTCCTTTCATCCCAAGTCTACCATGTTAGGATTCTCTGAAAGTATCTCTGACATTATCTGACACCATAGGCTATGTTCAGTTACTGCATCTTCTTTAAGACCAGTCATGTCCCTAGAATTAGCAGGAAACTCCTTAACATCCTCCAGGTCTTAGTGAGAAAAGAAGGACTTGCCTATCCCATGGCAGATAATAAACTTTTTTCATTGATTTTTACCTCTTGCATCAAACTGAGAAAAGAAATGTACAAGAAACACAACAATTTGCTGCCACCTATAGGCTGGAATGAATATCAGACATACCTTGGCATTCCCACAAGAGAAAATGAAGGCAGGTTTAATGTTGAAACTCACAGGCTTCTAAGAGGGTTTGAATTTGAAGAGTGACTTTGCTCACAGTGAAGGGATGACCCTTGACCTGCCCTCCCTTTGGTTCTTCTGCATATTAGCACCACTGCCTTAAGAAAGACAAGAAATGTGCCCTTGGAAGTAGTGAAATCATCCTGAAGCTACCAGGTGCCCATGTTTCTTGTGGCAGGGAGGATAAAGACAAATTGCAGGATGGACAATCTGGATAAACAAGGAACCTGAAAAATCCACTACTGAATAGTAGAGAATAGATTTTGTTAGTTCTTATTACCACTGATGATAATAACAAATTATATTTATGTAGCTCTTTGAGGTTTGCAAACTATATACACATACTGAATCATTTGAATCTTATAGAGAACCAAAGATTCCAGGAAGCAGAAGGGAGAAAGGGAAACATTTCAGGCTTGGGAGAGGGGGAAGTTGGGGGAGGAGAGAGAGAAAATGGCCTGTGCAAAGTCATAGAAACAGGAGTTGGATTGTGGAGTATGAAGAAATTACAGCCACTCTCTGATCCATCCATACTTGTCTGCTCGCTGTCCCACTCACAAAACACTCTGTATTCCATCTCTGTGCATTTGCACTGGCTGCCCCACCTATCTGGAGAGAGATGTAACATGTAGAGAGATGAGTATGTACATGATCATTTGAAGAGGAAGGAGAGAGTGCTAGCTGAGTTTGCTGGGGACAGATCAGGAAAAGTGTCCAAAAAGAGTGAAGAGGGAATACGTTCCAGGAAGAGGGGACAAAATGTGGGGAAGCAAAAAATGGGGTAAGGAGGAAGTCACTGGAATTGATGGAGTGAGGATAGAGTTGGTCAGATCTATAATTTCAGAAAATCACCTTGGCAGCAGAGTGGAGGATGAATTAGTGGAGAGACAGAGGGAGGGATGAGGCAAGGAAGGAAGGAAGGAAGACATTATGCATTAATTAAGTACCTAATATGTGTTAGGCCTGTGCTAAGCACTTTACAAATCTTATCTCATTTGATCATAACGACAACCATAAAAAGTAGGTGCTACCATTATCCTCATTTTTCAAGGAAAGAAACTGAGGCAGCAGACAAGTGACTTGCCCAGGGTCTTACAGCAAGAATGTGCCTGAAACCAAATTTGAATTCAGGTCTTCCTGACTCCAGGTCCAGCATTCCATCAACTGTGTCATCTAGTTGCCTCTAATGCTATTGATGATAAGGATTTGAGCTACGATGGTGGCAGCAAGAGTGGATGGAGGAGTGGATGGGTGAGAGAAAGATTTGGGAAGTAGAAGTGAGAAGGTATGACAATTGTTGGTAGATGGAGTGAAGGAGAGTGAGGTCTGGTACCAAAATGATGAACTAGGGTGACAGAAGAATGGACAGTGGTCCAAGAGAATAGATGGTTTCAGTAGAAAGAGGTAAGTTCTGAAGAAGGAAGAATTGGGGGGGAAACCATTATTCCATTTTTAGCTCTCTATCTCCACCACCATGCTGCCTTCGCCATACATCTAATACAATTGTCTAACCACAATTGAATGAATGTTGCCCTTTAGTTATCTGTTACTTGGCAATGATATTAAAGCAAGAGAATGGAAAAATAGAACAAAATTGGAACTAGGAGCCAAGAGAATTAGCTTCTAGTCCCAGCTCCCTGACTAACCAGTTATCTTACCTTGGCCAGGTTGCTTCTCCATTCTGGACCTCATTTCCTTATCTGTAGAACAAAGGAACTGAACGATATAATCTCTAAGGACCCTTGTGGTTCTAATGTTCTTTTTTCTAATCTAATATCTCTTCCAGCTCAGACAGTTGCCTGTCTTCCCAATTCTTCATATCTGTTCTAAGGGCCCTTCCAGCTCTAATGTTCTATGAATGAAAACAAGAATAAAGTAGCAACATGGACATTCAGGGGCTATTTTAATATTATATTATTACCATTTGATCTAGCTGTGTAGGCACACTGGGAAAAACGAGTATTCCTCCACCCTGAAAAGTTGTATAAGTTACTGATTCCTTCACTCAATTTCCCCCATCTGTATATGGATAATATGGTTGTTTGAAGGATAATGTTCACGGCAGGGAAGTATATGAGGCAGTAAACATCTTTTGTGGGTGATTAAATGCCAAAGCCGAGATGAGCTTTTGATAAGTGTGGAAGCTCTTTATTGCAATCTACCTCTATGTCCTGGGTATTGTTCCTACTATTGTGTATGACGAGATAAAAGGAAGTTCAACAAACCGTGGCATGTAAAGGAAAAAGAATAATGTTTTTCTTTCTTTATGGTAGAGGCTTTGTGATGTTTTTTCAAGGTATTATTGCAAACATCCTGTAGTAGATATGTCATGAACTAGGTAGGGGCAGAATGACATGGTAAAGAGAGCACTGGTTTTATTGTCTGTGAGATCGTGGGCAGGTCACTTCCTCTCACTGATCCTCAGTTTCCTTACTTATGTTGATGTTGTTCAATCATGTCCAACTCTTTGTATCCCACTTGGGGTATTCTTGGCAAAGATTCTAGAGTGTGTTATCATTTCCTTCTCCAGCTCATTTTACGGATGAGGATCCTGAAGCAAACGGGGTTAAATGACTTGCCCAGGGTCACACAGCTAGTAAGCATCTGAGGGAGGCCTGATTTGAACTCACAAAGATGAGTCTTCCTGACTCCAGGCCCCATACTCTATCCACTGTGCTACATAGCTGCCCTTCCTGATCTATAAAATGGGGATGATATCAGTGCTGGCTAACCCACAAGGTTGTTGTGAGAATCAAAGATTAGGTATATATAAATCACCTTGTAATAATAAAGTCACAGAAATATGAGCTAGCATGATTCTTATCCATATATTTGAGTCCTTATTCTGAGGCATTAAAGAATCTGATTGAGACTGAAAGAAATCAGAGGGTGGGGCTGAAAGGACAGAGCTTTTATTAGGGATCCAAATAGGATTGGAGCCAGCCCAAATCCTGGCTGGGGGAAATAATACAATTCAATCCAATTCAACAAATATTCCTTGAGCACCTAGTGTCTGGAATTGCTCTGTTCAATTGCTGAGTCTTTGTCCTTAAGGAGCTCACAATTTAAAGGACGTTGTGTGTAGGAGTTAAATAAGATACAGCTTAACAAAGCAGTGCAGAGTCCATAAAAGCACCAACAAAATGTTTTGATACTTCATAGGGGAAAAGGAGGAATCAGGCACTATTTCATGCAAGAGGAGGCATTTCAACTGGACATTAATGGATGGGTCAGATGGCAGTCAGAGGAGTTGGAAGGAAAAGAAATTCAAGGTATAGAGAATGGTTTGACAAAAGGTATGAGTCAGGAAAGCAAGGACATACGAGTGGAATTCTACACACGTGTAATAGGGTATATTTACTCAAGTCCTAAATCATTTCTGATTTTTCTCTCCTAGGGGGATGTTGTAAATACAAAGTACCTGGTGGACCTTGGTGATGGCTTTAAGGCTGTCTATGTGAATCTTACTGTGACAGGGGAACCTATCCGGCACCGTTATGAGAATCCAGGCATTTACCGTGTCTTTGTCAAAGCAGAGAATGCTGCTGGGCATGAGGAAACTGTGTTGTTCGTTCAAGTGAATTGTAAGTTGGCTTTTTCATCTTTAATATAGTTTTTCCATTGTTGTTGTTCAGTGGTTTTGGTCTTGGCCAACTCTTCATGACCCCCATTTGGAGTTTTCTTGGCAAAGATACTGGAGTCGTTTGCCACTTCCTTCTCCTGCTCATTTTATAGATAAGGAAACTGAGGCAAACAGGGTTGTGACTTGCCCAGGGTCACACAGCTAGTAAGTGTCTGAAGTCAGATAAGAACACAATTCTTCCTGACTCTAGGCTCCATGTTCTAGCCACTGAGTCACCTAGCTGGCCCAGATTTCCTGATGCTTTCATTCAAATCCTGCCTCCGACACTTACTAGCATTATTACCTGAGGCACGTCTCTTAACCTCTCCCAGTCTCAGTTTTGTCATTTGTAAGATGTGGATAATAGTAGCACTGACCTCATCAAGGTATTATGAAGATCAAATGAGTAACACGTAAAGCTCTTTGTAAACCTTATATCACAATGCAAATACTAACTGTTTTTGTTGGTGATGATGATGTCAGTGAAAATGATGATGATGATGACAACTGTAGGATAAGCTCAGTGCTTTGGGGAAACATGCACCCCTTTTCTTTGGTACTGTGGTTTTTCTACCATGAAAGCAAATACCCCTAAGCATATTTACCATGTTGCTCTGAATATAGCTATGCTTTGTGCTCAAGTCTGACTTGCAGAAAATCTGAGCATGGCATTTAATTAGTGTTATGTGCACAATTATATAAATAGACATAAAATATATGTTGCAGTGTTATTTGTGTATTATATGTGGGCGTACCAATACATGTAGTAGGGATATGTTCATTTTGGAAATACATCCCCCACAAATCTGAGAAGAGAGCAACAGGTGCTGACTCTACCCTAGCATGTGCTCTGGTTAGATGGGAGCATTTTCAGCATACCTGACAGGAGCCTGGGCAGGAAAATTAGCAAGGGTGACAAGATATGGGGTAGCTTCCTGATTCCATTCATGTTTTCTCCTCTGTCTCTTTTGACACATTACTCAAATCTCCCCTGTCCTATCTCTGTTGCAAGTCCTCAGCCCCAGCCTTTCACCAGCTATGCTACTTCCATTCAACCAGATTCCATGCTGATCTATCATCTACTATACAAAGATTGGTGAGGGGTGGAGTGCCCAAAGAAAATATATTACTCATCTATCTATCTATCTATCTATCTATCTATCTATCTATCTATCTATCTATCTATCTATGTACCTATCTATCCATCCATCCATCCATCCATCCATCCATCCATCCACCCACCCATCAATCCATCCATCCATCCATCTATCTATCTATCTATCTATCTATCTATCTATCTATCTATCTATCTATCTATCTATCTATCTATCTGTCTATCTGTCTATCTGTCTATCTGTCTATCTGTCTATCTGTCTGTCTCTCTGTCTGTCTGTCTATCTGTCTATCTGTGTATCTGTTTATCTGTCTGTCTGTCTGTCTGTCCATCTGTCTATCTGTCTATCTGTTTGTCTGTCTGTCTGTCTGTCTGTCTGTCTGTCTATCTATCTATCTTTTCAGAAAGATGCCATTTAGAACAATGAAATATTTAGGGGTGTCCCATATTTGGATCAGCATGGTAGTTTGAAAGCTTACCTCCTGCAAAAGTCTGCCATGTGTTGAAATCTTAAGGAGGCAATGTGGTGTAGTGGAAAAAACACTGTATTTTCAGTCAGAAGGTCTGAGTTCAAATCCAGATTCTGCCTGAGTAACCTTTTACAAGCTATTTCAGCTCCCTGGGATTCAGTTTCTTCAATTCTAAAATATAGGAATTGGGTTAAATGAACTCATAGGTCACTTCCAAATCTATTATCCTACAAAGTCATGTGGGCTGACATTGCTGATAAGAGTATGGTACATGTCATGAACTGAGAAGGAAATGAGAACATTCTTTGACCATAGGATTGAGATTCTTGATTTCTTTTTAGATCCTTAGCCATTTCAAGGAAACTGTGCATTGGTTGATTGTAAATTTTGTAGCTTATATTCAGGCCTTGTAGATTATTGGCCAGATGATTTCCTATGGAAATGTGTGTTTCCATTGATCAGAGGCCAGCTGTGTTTAGCATAGGTTTTATGTGTGAAAAGGAGGCTCCCCGTTGGAACTGCCAGCAGAACTTCCTTGTTTCACCAGAAAGATAGAAAGTCTACTGTCCTCACCACTTAATCTGTAAGGCCAAATCCCCAGGCACCCTTTTGGCCCAAGAATGCTGCAATTCTAGCCAAATTTTCAAACATATTTGGATACTGAACCCTGAAGTCTGATGACTTCGTTAGCTTAGTGCACTTTGTAGGAAGAGACAGTATCAGTGCAGCAAATCACTCCACTGCTGCTGTCTGGCAGGTTTACAAAAATATAAAAAAAAAACACATTGATGTAAATGATAGATAAATGTTCTGACTGAGTAAAGCAAGCTCATTTCATTTCAATACATATTTACTAAGTTCTTTCTATGTGCTGGCCCTGCACTCTGAACTGGAAAAAAACAATACAAAAATGGCACAGTACCTGACTTCAAAGAGCTTAAAATCAAACAGTGGGGATGCAAAAGTTTAAAAGAGAAGTATGATACAAGTTAGTAGATGATCAGGACAAAGGAGAGCTCCAGACAAAGAGCTCTGAGCAAGTATGAGTTTGGAGGCATAATATTTAGAGGATAGGGGGAGAATCAAGGAACCTTCAGAAGATGACACATAAGCTGAGACTCAAAGGAATGAATTCTAGGCATGGGGGATGGTCTATGCATATTTCAAGGTTACAGAAGCCGGGACAAGTTCAGGGACAGCTAATGGTTCCTTTGGCTTAAATGTAGTCAGGTGTGGAGAACAGTTTTGTAAAATAAGATTGGAAAAGTAGGTTGGGGCCAAATTGTGGACTGTCTTCATTATCAGGCAAAGGAGTTTTGTTTCATTTTGTTTTGTTGTCTGTCAACAGCAGGAATCCACTGAAAGGGTTTTATTTGGAAATGAGAAGTCCATATTTGACCTGTTTTCTTGGCCATAGTCAACACTATGCTCTTAATGGAAGTAACATATATGCCAAAAAATGTTTATCCAGTGGTCTGTAAGTGAGTAGAGAAGCATACGTCTAGATTATACATTGTTCAGAAATAACAGTTCTGGAAGTTGCCATTCATTGCGCAAGGAACTGAGAACAAGTACCAAACATGACCAGAGGTCATTCAATAACTAACAAGGTCACAGAGCTAGTAAGCTGATAGGAGCAAGAATGTTTGCTTTATTTGCCACAACAATGTGACATATACACATATATATGTGCATGTACCTACATGTGGATGTGTATATACATATATAATGAATATGTGCATAATAATGTGTGCATATATGTGTATTCACTGTGTATATACATACATGTGTATGCATATAATAGTATTATATAATTATTCATATACAATACATATATTATGTGTATTTACATGTAATATATATCCAAAATGTGTATTATGTACATGTATAAAATCAAGAGAATCCACTCAGAATTACATACTGTAGCCAATTAACATGGAAAACAGCACCAAAACCCATCAGTCAGAAAAGCATTAAACTCCTCTGAAAGCTTTGGAGACAGCTACTACTTTCCCTCTTATAAACATGTCAGAGGACAGCAACTCAGTAAAAACAATAGAAATAAGTGGTACCATGGACAGTGCTTGAGGAAAGCCTTTCCTAGAGAAACAGATACCAGATGCAATGAAGCTTTAATACTATTAATAACTCACAAATACAAAGCACTTTCTAGTTTAGAAAGCATTTTCCTTACAACGTATCTGTGGGGTAAATAGTGTTATTCTCTCCACTTTATACAGAAAAAGACTGAGGCCCCCAGAGAGGCAAAGGGGAGGCAGGAAGCAACCTTTCAAGGTCAAACAACTCATTATTCAACATTTGTTACAGTCAAAACTCAAAGCCCCCTTTTTTCAGATCAAGCCTGCCATTCTTTTCACTTCATTATGCCTTCATGAAGCCAATTAAGAGGCTATCATTTTTAAGAGAAAAAATGTCTTTCTTTATCTCACCATGGCAGGATGGCCTAGTGAAAAGAATGCTGGGCTTAGACTTAGGAGATGTTGTTGTTCAGCCATTTCAGTTGTGTCCAACTCTGTGACCCCATTTGAGAATTTTCTTGGCAAAGATACTGAAGTAGTTTGCCATTTCCTTCTCCAATTCATTTTGAAGATGAAGAAACTGAGGCAAACAGGGGTAAACGACTTGCCCAGGGTCACATATCTAGTAAGTGTCTGAATCCAGATTTGAACTCAGGTCTTCCTGACTCCAAGCCTGGTGTTCTATCCACTGACTTGTATTCAAAGCCTGTCTTTGGTGTTCATTAGTTAATTAATGAATCTCTGGACAAGTCACAAACTCTGTGTCACTCAAGCAGCTTCCAAAGACTTATTCACTAAGTCATAGAAGAGTTACAATCTGCATTGGTAGAAGAAGTTCCTACACCAAGAGTTCCCCAAACTGATAGAACCCTAGATTCTTTCTGTATCCATGTATCTCAATCTTTAGCAGCTACCCTTCAACTATAGGGCTAATTTTCTTACTATAGGATAAAATTCATTTTATTACATTTAAAAACATTCTTAGTTATATCTGAGCCTTAGTTTCCTCTTCTGTAAAATTAGGATAATAACTCTTACCCTACTTACCCCACAGGACTATTGTGAGGAAAAAAATAAGATGTTATATACAAAGCACTTTGTAATCATAAAGCAGTACATAAATATGAACTATTGTTATTCTTCTGTAAAGCAATTTTAATTTATTAAATCAATTAAAGTTAAATTACTGAAAATCTATCCTGCATATTGTTTTCTCTACAAAATATTTATGAGGTATCAGAGAACACATTGCAGAGACATGTAAGATATATGCTAATGGCAACAATAATCACCACTGGCACTTGCATATCAGATTCAGGTTTGCACAGTATGTTATGTGCAACCTCTCATTTGTTCCTCACAATATTTCAGTGAGGTAACCACCATGCATATGATGTTCACCCTTTAGTAGATGAAGCAATTTAGTCTCAGAAAGGCTAAGTGATGTGCCCATGGGCACACAGCTAGTAAGTGCCAGAGGGCAGACTTCTCCAGTGCCTTCTCCACTACATCATACCTATACTGCCCAATTAAGACCCATCTGTGAAAGACTACCAATTGATGAGTTCCAAAAAAGGGGATCTGATAATAACAACCACTGGAGTCTTCTAAAACAATAAAAGGGACCTACTTTCATAAACGTAATATTGTGGAATTCAACTGATATTTAAGCTTCTACAAATAAAAGGGAGAAGTTACAAAGAAGTAGATCTCAGTTCAACATGTACATGAAATGGGTTGCCTCAGGAGGTAGCGAGCTCCCTGTCACTAAAGGTTTTTAAGGTGGATGTCCACTTGTTGGAGATGTTGCATAGGGGGAAGCTCCTGCTTCATTTGGGGAATGGACGTTGATTTCTGAAGTCATTTCCAACTCCAAGGTTCTAGGATCCTCCATCCATCATGAGAAAGGAATGACCTTGTTCCAAGAGAAGATTTTAAAAATAATCATGTGATTTAGAGCAAGAGGAGGGCTTAGAGGTCATGTTGTTAGAGTCCCTTCACTTAACATAGGAGGACTCAGGGTGGTTTGCCCACAGTCACACAGGTACGAAATAGCAGAGCCAGAATTAACACCAATCGTTTTCCCACTAAAACACACTGCCTCATAGCAGTAACATTGCTATATGGCTCAGACTCCATGTGGCCCTAGTTGAACACGAAAAATCATTTTTCCTTTTTTTTTTTTTTTAAATTTTGTGATCTATGTTTAACTGAAGAAATGACACCTCCTAGAGGTACCAATAGCCTTTCCATTGGTACATTCTGGGAAAAGATCCAATGCAAGCTAGTCCCTTTGCTGAGAGAACATGGTACAGAGCAGGAGGAAGGACTATAGGGCTCCATAAATTGACTCTTTGACTAATGACATTTTTTTGTAACTCTCCCCAGCTCCTCTACGGGCCTTACACCTCGAAGTGGTTCCTGTCATTGGAGTGAACCAGGAAGTCAACCTCACTGCCATTCTGCTGCCCCAGAACCCCAATCTAACAGTCTTCTACTGGTGGATAGGAAACAACTTGCAGGTACGCCTTGAGCTTCTTTTGGTCAGTTTACAAACACCCCTGCTCTGGGTGCTGTGAAGATAGTTACAGACACATCAGAGACACAGACATCTGATCTTAAAGGTCTTATAGCTGCATGAGAAAATGAGCTATTTATAGGTGAAAATATCACCCACAATTCATAATGATCTGTGATGCAATCAAATAAGGGTTAGAGATAGTAAATGATGTAGATCAGAAGGGGAAGGAAAAGAGAAGGGAATAAGTGTGTATGTATGTGTGTGTACATGCATGTATGTGTATTATGTATGTATGCATATATTATGTATGTATATATGTACCAGGCACTATGCAAAGCAGTTTTTACAAATATTATCTCATTTGATGCTCACAACAGCCCTGTGAGGTAGGTAGTATTAATATACCCATTTTACAATTGTGGAAGCTGAGATGAACAGGAGTTAAGTGACTTGTCCAAGATTGTACAGCTACTAAGTATGTGAGGCAAGATCTGAACTCAGATTTTCCTAACTCAAGGCACAGTGTTCTATCCATTGTGCCACCAAGGTGAGCAGAAGAATGTGAAATGCCTATGGTCTAGAATGGTCAAGGAAGACTTCGTGGAGGAGTTGGAGTTTCAAGTTGGCCTGTGAAATGAGTAGGAACCAGAGAGGCAGAGAAGAAAATAGAGGAAATTCCTGGCAGAGAGGGAGAAAAATATGAGGTCTACTGGGGATGGAGGTGAGGGTGGGGAGGCAGGAGTGACAGGGTGGGGAGTCAGTGAGGAGAAAATTCATGTATTTGCAAAGGGATAGTGGGTAATAAAGTTCAAAAAGAAGGGTAAGGCCTGATCATGGAGGGCCTTGAATGCCAAGTTGAGGAGTTTGGCTTTTTGGCCCAGGTGCCAATGAAGGTTTTTTAATAGCAATGTAATGAAGTCAGACCTGTGCTTAAAGAAGATGAATTTGTTAACTGTGTGAAGTATTGATCACAGAAGTGAGACACTAGAGGCAAGGTGTCCAAGTAGGATGAGGCATCCTCTGAGATTATGAATCAATATTTCCTTCTTAGTTTGAAGAGAAGAGTATAATACCTTCTTAAATCCAATGAACTCTCCCCCATCCATAGAGTCATCATCATCATCACAATCATCACTGACATTTACATGGCATTTTAAAGTCTTCAATGTGCTTTACATAAATTACCACAATTGATCCTCCCAACAAATCTGCGAGGTAGGTATTGCTATCCCTACAGCATGGATATAGAAACAGAAGATCAGTAATACTAAGTGATCATCCATGGTCCCAGAATACAGATTTGTAATCATGTCTCCTGACTCCAAATCCAAAGCTCTCTCTAAGCAGCCCTTTTCAGGGTGATTAGACCATGTGATCGCATCCTGTTAGAGCTGAAAGATCACTTAGTTCATATTTCTCATTTTTAGTTGAGGAAACTGAGGCATATGTGTTCTTTGAGCAAGTGACTTATCTGTGTTTACACAAGATAGAAATAGTAGAGTCAAAATCATGATAGATCTAGAAATGCAAGGGACCTTAGAGGCATCTAATCCAACCCACATATTTTAGAGTTGAGAAAACTGAGACCCAGGGAGGCTAAGTCATTTACCCAAAGTCACACAGTCTTCTGACTTGAAATTCAATGCTATTAGTTGCAAGAGATCTCTTAGGTCATCTAATCCAACTTAGCATGTGAATTGTGATCCTTCATGAAGGACCAAGAAGTGAGGCAGGTGGAATGTCACAATGCCAATAGGCTTAAATGTTCTGGGTGTTGCCAAGGAACCACATCTTCCTATTGAAGAGTGATACACAGTGCAGCAGACAGATTATAAGATCATTGCCACTTGGCCTTAGGAGGGTCTCAGCTGCTGGGATTTGCTATGTAGGGACCTATTGTTCAGCCTAGAACAACACATACTGTATGCCTGCCAAGAAACACTTCATCCTCTATTATGAATTTCAGGGACACCTGACTTATCACACATATGGAAGGGGAAAAGGAAGAGGAAAAAATAAAAAAACTCTTATTCGTGTTCATTTCTCATAATTGCTAATCAGGTGACAGAGCTAAAAGAGACCTTGGAAATAAGTATAGAATGTCACAATTGGAATGGGATCTTAGAAGCAAACATGGAAAGAGAGAGCTAAAAGAATCCTTAGAATAGAGACTATGACATGCTACAACTGAAATGGACCTCCGAACAGAGACTGACAGAAACAGAAGGAACTTTAGAGCATAGAATGTGAACAGTTAGAAGAACTTCAGATACCATCTCATCTGTGTTCTCTAATCAACAAGCATTTATCAAACACCCACTGTGTACCAGGCACTGTGTTAACTGCTGGCTCACTAGGATCTGGACCAGTTCTATCCTTCTGGAGTCTAGGTTCTAAGATCCCAGCTGCAATGGTCTGTGTTCCGTATTCTAAAGCTCCTCCTGACTGTGATAGTCTTTGTGATTTTTATGATTCAACCCTGGATAACAATAGTCCTTCTTTTCTTTTTCAGCCCCTTCTCTCTCTGGATAACTTTCTTGTCACGCAATTTTCAGAAACAGGTGAAGTCCGAGTGACCGTTCAAGCCTCCTGTGGAAATTCCATGCTCCAAGACTCCAAAGTTATCAGGGTTTTAGGTGAGCTACTTTCCATTTTTCTGGCCTTTTACATGTCCCACACCCCCAACCCTTTTCTAAACCTGCAAACATTATTATGATCCTTAGAGGCAGCTGGTGGTACAGAGGATAGAGTGCTGGAAAGTCAAAAAGACCTGAGTTCAAATCCAGCCTCCAACATCTACTGGCTGTGGGACCTTGAGCAAGTCACTTAAGCTCTGCTTGCCTCACTTTCTCATCTGTAAAGGATGATAATAATAGCTCCTACTTCCCAAGGCTGTTGTGAGGATTGAGTTCATAATTGTAAAGTGCTTAGTACAGTACCTGGCACATAATAAGCACTATATAAATATTAGTTATGCATAAACACATAAGCGTAAGATGTCATTCAGGGCAAAGGAGAAGTGTAATCAAGAGACCTGAGTTCAAATTCTCCCTCTATTACTTTTTAGCTGTTGTGACCATGGGCAAATCACTGCTCCTCAAAGCCTCAAATTCTTTATCTTTAAAATTAACTAGTGAACACTTAATAATCACAACTTTGATTTCATTATGATCCTCCCAACAACCCTGTGAGATAAATATAGCACATCTCATCCTCTTTGTTTTACAGAGAAAGAAACTGACACTCTGAGATATTAAATGGCCAATGAATGCACAACTGGTCATTGCCACAATTGCTCCCAGAACCTGGGTCTGCTGATTTTAAACCCAGTGTAATTTCCACAGAAGCATCTTTCTCATATATTTTCAACCTAAAGTTTATTCCAAGTGTCAAAATTAGTGGATCATAGCACCAAAAATTGGGGTTCACTTCTAATACTGAGTCTAGGCCACTCTGAGTCTCTCCAGTAATGATGATAGACTTCCCAGGTTGCCGTAAGAAAAATGCTGTGTGAATGTGGAAATGATTATCATTTTCATTAATCATAACTTTTGGGGTCTTAGTCTCCTCCTTTGTAAAGTATATCATCATTATTATCATGATTTATGTTGGGCATTATTTGCAGTATATATTTCTGTAATTTGTTTAATGTGTCAGTGATTATGAGCAGCAGTAAATGGATGGATTCAGGTGATTATCAAGACATCTGAGGATATGTATTAAATCCTCCCCCTGGCACTTCTTATCTATGTAACCTTGGGCAAGTATGTCAACTCAATGGGTCAAACTCAGTGAGCTTTCAACTCTAAATCTATGATCTTAGTAGTCTGTAATTCTTAGATTCACTCCTGGTATATGACTGCACAATAAAAATCACATTGGAATACTTGGGAATATTGCTTCATTTGGAGACAGATCATCTAAGCCTCATCAGAAAGCCCTTCCCATCCTCCCAGTAAATACTCGTTTTTTTTTTCCAAGTTACTCAAACTTTCTAGATCAATTTCCTCATCTGTAAAATGGAACTAATAACATCTGCCCCACTTGCTTCAGATAATTTTTTATGAAGATCATATGAGAGAATGCATGTGCAAGTGCTTTGGAGAAGTTAGGAAACATGGGCCCAGTGGGAAGGGTATTGTACTTGTAATCAATCAACCTATATTCAGGTCCCAAATCCTTATTGGCCTTGGGCAAGAGACTTCCCCCTTCTGGGACTCCTGTTTCTTATCTGAAATTATGATGTTATACTAGATCAGAAATGTCAAACTCAAATAAAAATAGGGACCACTAAACCTCCTCGAAAGTCATATACTGACTTAGAAAACCACGTATTGATATTATCTATGTTCTATTGTATCTTTATTTATTTTGTTTAAAATGTCCTAATTTCATCTTAATCTGGTTCAGTCCTCTAAGGGAGGTACCTGGGCCATTTTTTGACACCTATGTACTATATAAATTCTAAGGTCCCTTCCTGGTCTGACCTTTTTGTTCTAATACCTTGGGAAATTGAAAGAATTGGACTAGGTCACCTGTGGGGCATTTTCTAGCTCTGGATACTATAGGCTCCTGCCAGTTCTAATATTGTGTGTTTTCAGTTTCCTTTTAACTCCAACTCTCTATGTGCTAATGTTCCTTCCAATTCTAACATTTTTTGTTCTAAAGTTTTGTTTTTTTTTCCCTCAATTTAACATTCTGTGTTCTAATACAGTAACCCTTACGCTTTGGACATTATGTTATGAGATCTCTTCCAGCACTGACATTCTAACTTTCTTTAAGTCTAAAGGGGCAAGTAGATTAATGCATTTTCCCCTGTGACCTTAAAAATTTCCAACATTTTGTTCTTCTTCTTACAAATAAACCAAAAGAGAATTCTGTCTAATCTAAACTTAAGATCAGCCAATTATACCTTCCCTTTTTTAGGGGGCTTGGGGTTCTTCTCAGGTTTAGGGTGTCAAGGATTTCAAAGTCCTTTGCTTTTGTCTCTGTTAGTGGTAAATGGCCCTTTCACCATTGACTGTTTACTTGGCATCATAAGGCATTTTACTTTGTCTTGTCAATTGCTAAAGGGGCAAGATGCCCGAAAGATGCCAATGACAGCTGAATTATTTACACTGGGGAAATGTGCTGTCAAATCAGGGATTAGCCTGATCTGAAAAATAAAAAGAGATGTCGTCTAATCCTCAGGTATGGAGAATGGGGGATGGAGTGGAGGAGAATACAACCTTTATGTATTATGGCCCTCATTGTCAGTCAAGTCTCTTGTGCTAATAGCCTCAGAAACACCTCACTGCCCTGTGCATATTTCAGGATAATAGGCCAGAGTTAGTGAAATAGACTAAATGAACTCTTAGGCTAGTTTTCCCATTGATATGGTAAGTGGGTTTCATAAGAGCAACTGAATCCATTGAAAACATGAATTATTCTTTAAAAGCTATAGAAAACACCATCGTATTTTCAGGTTTAGTCAAGCTAGAAGTGTTTTTTTTTGTTTGTTTGTTTTTTTACCCTCTCTACCTTATTTTACTCAGTGGGAACCTAGAATAATAGGACCCATTGTTACGTGTTTGGGATATATAACAGGTGAACTTCTCTCTCTGGCAGCACAGCTCCCAAGAGTCAACACCTTATCGATTGCTGTTAACCTGCAGGGCTAATCCCTCTCCTCAACTTCATTTCCCCTTGCCTACTCTTCCTTTTCCTTCCCTCCCCATGTTTTCTCTCCCCAGCATCATCTCCCCTCCCCTCTGCCCCCTCTCCTTTATCCCCACTATCCTTTTCAGTTTACTCTCCTCAGCCATCCCTTCCCAGACTGCCTCCCAGTACCAGCTTATAGAATCCTGCATTTTAGAATCTTCCCATTCTGGTTGTGTGCCAGAAAGACTAAGGAAAGACTAAGCCTTCCACAAAAGATGAGACAACGTGCCTGGAGCTTACCTGCTTAACAGGACACAATAGACTCATTGAAGCAGAGTCTCAGCTCCTGCAGTTTGCCCTCAGTTATTCAGTTGCTTTTCCAGGTAGCTTATGGGAAATGGAAACAAACATCAGACCCTGCCTCCTGGGAAGGTAACTTGGGTTAGCAGAAAATGGCTTGTGGGGATACTCTGTGTTCTTTCTCGTTGTGCCAAGGATTCACTCCCCACATTTAGACTCAAAATCTATGCCTGCCTGAGATGCAGAGGAAATTCCCATCTATTCCCCACCTAAATTAGAACTGTTCAAAAGGAAAATGTGCTTTCTTTGTTGGCAGATGGTTTTTCATCCTCACTAGAGGTCTTCAGTAAGAGGCTGGATGACCACTTGTCATGGATGTTATAGGGAGGATTTCTTTTTTTTTTTATTTAAAATTTGACTGATACCTATTCCTTAGTTCATATGTCTCCCCATGCTTCTCTGTTGTCACCACATCTGTAGTGGATAGGGTATCAGACTTGGAGTCAGAAAGACTTGGTTTCAAATCTTACTTCACACACCTAATAGCTCTGTGAGTCATATTAACTTCTTTGTGCCTCAGTTGGCTCATATGTAAAGACTGGGTTGGACCTGATGACCTCTAAGGTCACTTTCAGCTCTAATTCTGTGATCATTTATTATAGTCCAGTCATATTCCATGACCATCATCATATACCACAACTTGTTTAATCTTCCCCTAATCAGTGGGGGTCTGCTTTGTGTCCAGTTTTGTTGCCTGTACCAAAACAAGCTTCTTTAAATGTCTTGATGCACATGGTGGCCTTTCTATTTTTATCACTGGTTTCCTATATCTAGCAGCAGAATCTCTGTATCAAGGAGTGTAGACATTTTAGTCACTTTCTTGCCATAATTCCAAAAAGCTTTCTAGAATGGTTGGACCAATTTGCATTTCTCCTATTATATTATATACTTCTAATATATTATACTACTAATAGTATTCTACTAGTTTATTAGAGTGCTTGTCTTTCTACAACCTAGTAGAAGAGTTTCCTTTTCTAGTATGTTGAACTGCATGAGTTCTGAGGTCCCTACAATTCTTTGGATTCCAACTCATTCCCATGAGGAATCCCATTCAAGGATCATGTGCCTTGTGCCCAGGCCCAGGCCCAGGCCAGCTAACTTTCCAGAGGTCTGTGACCAGTCTTACTCCAACAGGATTGGTTTTTTGCCATAGAAATACTAAAAGACTCTTAGTAAGTTACAGAGCAGTTATGAACTGTATCAATGGAAAGCGTACCAGTACTGACGACGTTTTATGAATTACTTACCTTGCAAGGTTGATGTGAGGAAATTTCATGGGATTGGATCCCAGATATAGAGTTTAGGAGATATCTAGTCAAACCCTATCATTTTGCAGATGAGGGGTCTGTGACTATGGTGATTAAGTGATTTATCCAAAGTCACACAGGTAGGAAGCATGAGAGGCAGGATTTGAACCCAGGTTCTCTAACTCCATCCTCTATTACGGGTAGGGTTTTAGTGCTTGGGATAAGGGCATGGGGCTATGGAAGTAGATAAAGTCCTGTCATCCATGACCTGAAGTAGTTTATAAATTGACTAGGGAGATGATCTAACCGACTGTGAATAACAACAGTAGCAAAAACTCTTATAACTCACCTTTGTGCAGTGTCCCAAAAGTCTTAGTACAGTTCAAAGGTATTAAAAACTGAAACTCTAATTTAAAGATTAAAACCGCACTAAGATTTTGAGGACGGCCTGTTTTAGTTTTATGAAAATGTTTGCTCCCCCAACCCTATGACATAGTGTGTGTATGATTTAGCTTCATTGTACAGATGAGAAAACCAAGGCTCAAAAAGGAGGAAAGAGATGGTACATAATGAAGAGCGTAGCAAAAAGCACACTGGACATAAAGTCAGCTAACTTGAGTTGGAGTCCAGGCTCTGCCGCTTCACTGTCATCTTGTATGGGATATTTCACCTTTTGGGGTTTTGTCATGTGTCCTAGAACCGAATGAAATAATGAATGTAAAAGCAGACCGTTGGCATGGAAAGAATTGAGAACTGGGGGTTAAGAGGCTAGGGTTCGAATACAGATTTACTACTTATTAGTTATATGACCATGAGCAAATCAATGAATCTCTCTGAGCCTCAGTTTCCTCATTTGAAAAGTGGAGATAACAGCACTTGACTCCCCTAACTCAGAGGCTGTTGTAGGGGAAAGGTTATGTAGATTGGGAAGATTGTTATTAGAATATAAATACAAGCTACATAATGTTGGATTTTATGGCACAGACTGTAAGCACTTCAAAGGTTCCCAGAAATCATTTTTTAATGGTCCAAATCATTTTGTCTACATCTCTCTCTCCAGATCAATTTCAGGTTCTGCCCCTGAAGTTTACCAAGCACTTGGATATGTACAATCCCAACATCCCTGAATGGAGAGAAGACATTGGCCTGGTAGTCACCCGCCTCCTTTCTGAGGTGAGCCCCCTAAAAGTGTCATAACTTCTCCCAGGGAGAAGACTAGAAAGGTCATGGGCAGGAAGCTGTTCTTTCAAGGAAAATGGTCCAAACTTAATGACTGACTGAATGGTACCCCAGGGCCACCCAGAGAGGCAGGCAGATGGAGATAGGTGTCACTGGGGTACCAGCTTGCTGGTCACAGCAAAACAGCGCTGAATGTTCAGCTCCAACACTGCCTAATTGGCAGTTAAGAGCAAATGCAGCTGTGAGAGAATTTTGAGCCAGATGGAAGGAAATGATGCTGATGCGGGAAAAGCCATAGCTTGTATGTGATATAGCTATGGGGTGGGGATGAGGGATATGTGTGTATGTGTGAAGAAATGGTTGGGGGAGTGATGATAGAATTATCTCTGACTGTAAAGCTACTGCACAATCTCTAGAAAATCAAAATTAATATCTATCCAGTGTGCTGATTTTTCCCTTTTTATGGAAGTTGTATTTAGTGGTAAGTTATAATTCAGCTATTAAAATGGCATGAATAAAATGCCAAGGTTGCCACTGTCACATTATCATTAAACAGTGATGGCCATAATAATTATGGGAATTAATGCTGTAAGGTCATCTTCTCTAACCCTCTTACTTTGTATCTGAGAAAACTAGTTGAAATGACTTGCCCAATGTCTTACAGATATTAAAAAAGAGAGCCTGGACTTGACACCAAGTCTTCTGACTCAGAATTTATTGCTTTTGCCACTAACAATCTATTCATCAATGAGCATTAAAGACCTACTTTGTGATAGATAGAGCTGAGCACTGGGGATAAAAGCCAAAAATGAAGCAGTCCCTGACCTTAAGGACCTTGTAGTCTATCAGGAAATGCATACAGAAAGACAGTATAGTATAGTGGAAGGAGAGCAGGATGTGGTGCTAGGAGATCTGGAATCCAGTTATGCCACTTAGTCTATGGGATCCCAAGTTGCTTCATCTGTTCTATAGAGAGAACCAACTGTCAACCTCCCAGTTACGGTGGACAACACAGAAGAAAACGGATGTAAAATGGTTTGTAACTATAATAGGGTTTTAGGAGGGTCAACCAGATTTACTGGGAGCTCACAAGAAGCAATCACACCTCAGCCTCTACTGGACTCATTACCATATTCATTCACATCAACCTGAGTTCTAGGACATTATTTGGATATTCTCTCATTAATTACTTAAGCTCAGACCTCCTATGCCTATTTATGAAATATAATTTAGTAAAGCAGAGAAACCTCTTTCCCCTAAGCAGTTGCATAGCTATATAATTTATTCACAAATAGTAATAGAAAGGCATAAATAATTATTTAAATTATTTAAGTTCTGATAAAGATCACAGCCAGAGTCACCCCTAGCCATCACTGTAAATGCAGATGGCTTCCCCTTACTTCTGGAAACATAGTTCCACATTCAGTTCACTCAACATACCAAGCAAAACATTTTATTAAAAATTCTCTTTGCCTTCTTTGCAAGATTAAAGTAAATACTTTGCGGAGGTCCCTCCATCTTCTCTTTGTCTTCTTCAGGTTTTCTCAAGTTAACTCTTCTCAGCCTCTCCAAAAAGTGCCACAAGAGAACTGTCTCACAGAATGTTTTTTAAACCATTATTCTCCAAGCTTCCCTGCATCATAAAAAGTTAAAAACAATAACTATAGCAGAGGTTTTTGAAACAGGTGCTACATGACGAGAAACTTTTATGAGGACCCTGAGACAAGATACAACAATGAGTAATGTTCTATCTCTGCAGGATCTACAGTCTAGAAGGACAGGTAGAAAATTTAAAGTAGATTGTGCTTGATTATTCCCATAACAGTAGACAGCATCTTCTGCAAAAGCAAGGTGACTAGTAAAAACCTAATCAAACTACGTTCAAGTCTTTCCGCCATCTGACTCCAACCTACCTCTCCAACACCATACTCATTTCCACGGATACTTAAATTAAAGTCAAACTGGACTATTAGTTTTTTCATGATCTTCCTTGTTCTTGCCCACTTCTATGCATAAAGCATGTTCCCTCCTAATCTCTACCTTTCAAAATTCTTCTTTTCCTTCAAAGCCCACACCAGGTTCCAACTGCTCCAGGAAGCCTATAGGAGGTAGTCATTGATTGTTGAATTCAACAAAAATTTGATAAGCATAATATATTCAAGGCAATGTTCTAAGGGCAGAGGATGTAAAACAAAAACAATATAATCCCTGTCCTTAAGGAACTCACATTCAATTGGGAACATACAACTTGTACACAATTATAAGTAAATGCCAGGGGTGTATTTACCTATATATCTATACAATCATATTAAACAAATCTAAGAGTGTGAGAAAGCTAATGAATGGTGGATCAGGAAAAGGTGGAAGCTGATTTGAGATGTGAAGGAAGCCAGAGATTCTGCAAGGAACTGGTGTATATGAGACATGGAGGATTGCGTGTACAAACATTTCAAGGCAACAAATCAGGTTGACTAGACAAAGAATGGGTGAAAGGGAATAAAACAAAATAAGATGCAGAAAATTGGCTGGAGTCAGATTATGGAAGGCCTTAAATTTGAGTCTAAAGATTATCATTTTAAAGGCAATAGGAAATCATTGAAGATTTTGCTCGAAGAAGGAGAGTTGGTAGTGGGGAGGATAATCAGTTTCACTGAATCCAGGTAGGTGTGCTGTTAATACTGATAAAAGCTTTGGAAGTCAGGAGCTATGGGTTCTAGTCCTGGCTCTGCCAAACACTTGCTGAGAGACCTTGGGCATGTTCTTTTCTTCTCTGAGTCTCAGTTTCCTCATCTCTAAAATGCAAAGGTTGAAATAGAAGTTCTCCCTTCCTCCTTCAACAGTTCATTAATCACTAAACCAGATTCCCCTCCACCAAAAAAAAAAATCTATGTAACAAGCTGACCACTGAATAGGATGCTATCTCTCCAGGAAACCAATATCCCTGAAGAGACTCTGCTAACTGTGGTGAAGCCAGGCCTGCCCACAACTGCTGACTTGCACGTGCTTCTGCCATCACCTAAACCAAAGAGGAAGAGGAGCGTACCAAGTGACAAGGTAAGTCAATCATCTCAGAGAATTTGAATATACACATATATAGCCTGTTAATCATTGGAATCATAGAAATCATGTTGCCTTGGGAGCAATAGTGTGGCATAAATAAGCATAGAACTTGAGAGATCTGGGTTCTAGTTCAAACTCTAATACTAGCAGTGTTGATAAATATTTGCTGATTGATTTATCCTGGTACATGACCTTAGGCAAGTCACGTAACTTCTCTAAGATTCATTACCTTCTATTAAACAGAAATAACAATCCTTATACTCCAACCCTACCTTAGAGGATATCCTCTAAGGGAAGGAAAATACTTTGTAAACCTGAAAGTAATGTAGAAAGATGACTGATTCTGTTATTTATTACATTTTATAGGTCTCATTGGATTTAGAGCTGGAAGATCATCTAATCCAAACTCTTAATTTTACAGAGTAGAAATAGAGACCCAGAGGGAAACCAGTTTGCCTAAGTCTCATACCAGTGAAGGACAGCTTCATTTCAGCTTTTTGTTTTGTTTAATTGTTTTATTGTTTTATTGTCTTGTGGAAGTGGGTGTTTGGGGGCTTTGATCCTTTTGGTAACATACATATTGACCCTATGTCCTGGGAATTAGAGTCTTGCCATATCCTCAAACATGTCTCCTCATTGCCCATTCTCCTAATAGCTTTTTCAAAGAGTTTATCCTCCTTGTTCTCTCTAACTTTTGATTACCTCCTCCTCCTGGATCTCTTTTTTCCCTTGCTTTCCTTAAAATCCTCTTTCTAAGATCTCCATTGGTTCATTTTCTTTCTCCCAACTCTTAAATGAGAGTATTTCCCAAAGGTCTATCCTACATTCTCTTCAGTTCTCATCTACTCAAATAGATTCAATTGTCACCTTAAAGACTATGGCTCCAAAATCTATATATACTGCCCTGATTTCTTTCCTAATTCTTCCCTTTCCTAGTCTCACATTTCTTACTAGCCTCTGAACAACTCCAGTGGAATTTCATGATTATGCCTCAAACTCAATGGACCATAAGTCATACTCACTATTTAAACCTGCAATTCTTGCCTTATCTATTTCACGCAGACTTATAGCCTCATAGTCATCTTTGACTCTTCACTCATCCTCACTCTGCACATAAAATCAGTTGTCAAGTCTTATTAACTTTTCTTTTTCACTTTATCTCCCATCTCTCTTTTTCCCCATTTTTTCCATTCTCCTAGCCAACCCCCTGCCTAGTTTAGGCTCTTTTCACTTTTCACCAAGATTCTGTTACCTCCTGACTTTTCTTTCTTCAGTCTCTTCTGTCTCATTTATTTGGTATTTTCTATATGCCAGGCATTACGCTAAACAAAGTGCCGTTATCTGAAGGATTGTACTTTTTTTTTGACTAGGCAATGGGGTTAAGTGACTTGCCCAAGATCACACAGCTAGTAAATGTCAAGTGTCTGAGGCCAGATTTGAACTCGGGTCCTCCTGACTCCAGGGCCAGAGCTGTATCCACTGTGCCACCTAGCTGCCCCAGGACTGTACATTCTAAGGAGAGAGAGAAGATAACATGTAAATATCTAGGTACATACACAAACATACACAGAGAGAGAGAGAGAGAGAGAGAGAGAGAGAGAGAGAGAGAGAGCGCCTATGAAGGTAATCTGAAAAGGAAGACATTAGCTTGGGAAACCAGGAAGGTCTCTGGTAGAAGTTAGGAGGCAGAGAATTTCAAGTACAAGGGCAGTCCAAAATAACATTAGCTTTTTGGCTGTTATATCATACTGCTGATACTTCATAGTCCACCTAAATATCCAGATATTTTCATTAAAAACTTTAGAACAAATTCCAAAAAATGCTATTCATGGCTACCCTGTGTACTTGTTGATTTTCTTATTTGCTAAATTGATTAAATGCAGAACTAGCAAAAATGCAGATAGAAACATATAGGAAATTAACTGAAAACAAAGTACATAATCCCAAATTATAAAGAATAGTTTAACAATTAGATGCATTTGAATTGAAATCATTTAAATCAGAAACAGACCAGAGTCTGAAGGACTGCTGGATCACTGACCATGGTGCTGAAATATCTGAAATCCAAGGAACTCTGCTGTCAGAATTCTTAACTTCCTGGCTGGAGTACTGAATTAATTACAACTTGAGAATTAAGGAAATAAAAACATAGTGTTTAAAAATGAGAAAACTTATAGAATTTTTCAACTTAAAAGGGACCTTAGAAGTCACTTACTCTACAACCCCCTCATTTGAAAGATGAGAAAACAAAAGTCTAAAGGAAGTGACTTGTCCAAGGTCACATAGATTATCAAGTATCTGAGCCAGAATTGTGACCCCTATCTAAATCCAATGCTCTCTCTAATATATCACCCTTCCTATAATGACAGAGTATCAGCTAAATCACTGGTCCTGTGTAGGAAACAACTGATTTTGGTGCCTTTGACACCTGTACATTGTGGATAAACAAATGTTCTTGAATAGCAGTGGTTACTGCTTCAGCAGAATGACAGCTTCTCCTATCCAGGTGACACTTCATAACAGTGTCATCTATAAAACCCTGACAGTTAGCATTACTCTTTTCTTGTAATCTTTGATACTTCCCACCTTTGCTTTTCCTGCCTTTCTCCTCCAATTCACCCAGCGTACAAAATGAAGGTGTGTTTTCTTTTAATCAGAATGATCATTTTGAAAAATGTGCATGCATGTATTCTACAGAAATAGTCTACCAAAGAATCTTAGTCTACCAAAGACCCTTATTCCTTTTCACTGCATGGCAGTCATATCCTGTATCCCTGCTGGTTAGTTAGATGTATTTTGTTCCCAGCCATGGCTCCTAGTACTGATGAAGGGTAGATCTATACTATCCTTATGGATATGGTAGATTGGGGTTCTGTGCTGGGTCATATTAGCATTATATGTGTGTAGATGGAGAGAATTGTTGAGAGGACTGGTGACCATGTCCTACAAAGAACAAATGAAGAAATTTATATGAATAAAAGAAGATTTAGAAGAAACATGCTCACTATCTTCAAGTGTTTGAAAGATTGTCATTAAGAAGGTGAATTAGCCTTGTTTTGCCTGCCCTGAGAAGACAATTAGGAGAAATTACAAGGAGGCAGGTTTGGCTTCAATATTTGGACAAACCCCCAAAGACTAGAGCTGTTCTAAATTGGGAATCAATTTACTCAGTAGGTAGTGACTTTCCCAATACCAGAGGTCTTCATCAAGAGGCTATGTTAGCAGAGATTTTGTAGAGCAGATTCTGACTCAAATATGGGTTGGAATATAAGCCCTCTGAGGTCTCTTCCAATTTGACATTGCAGACTCTCATTCATCAGTAAAAGAAAATAGAGCATGTGTGGGAGAAGGACAGCAGCTATCAGAATATTATGAGATTCTGGTCATTTCAGTACCCAGTTGTATGTTTATTGCACTAATCTAGTTCTCTGAACACAGTAGTAACTACTTGGTTACTGTGTCTACTCCACTTGGATCAAAGCTTCCTGAATCAACTAGTAGAAACAGAATCATAGAACCAGAGAATACCTGAGCTGAAAGAGCTGAGTAGGGTTAGAATAAGAAAACTCAGATCCCCTGCAGCTCTGAGATTCTGGGCAGTCTTAGGACTTTCCTACCTTGTGTAGTCCTCAGTTTCAACTCAACTATTTACTTGACCTTGGGCAATTCCCTTCTCCTCTCCAGGCCTCAATACCATCCTCTAAACAATATATAGGGTGAGAGAGAAAGCAACTAGATAATCACCAAGATCTCTGCCAACTCTAATTCTGTTATTCTGTGAGTCATTCATCCTATTCTCAACATGTAGCTCTCTCATCCCTGACCCAATGCCAAGGTTCATTTTTAAGAAAAATTCCATTAAAATAAAAGCTGCTAAAAAGCTACCTCACTGAGCCCATCATGAGCCGGAGCTGAGTGCCAAGTTAGTATAGTCTCAGACCTCCCTGTGGCAACACAAGAGGCCAATAGAGGGGCTTCAGTGCCTCTGCCATTTGGGATATTCTGCTTGGATTAGGAGGTGCAGAAGGCTATTTTTCCATTAGTGAATATTGGTCTAAGAATAGCATCTTGACAAGCTAAAGAACAAGATAAAATATAGAATATCAAAAGGCCAAAGAGGAAGTACAATGAAAAGAAACTAGGCTAGAAATCAGAAAACCTGAATTTTGGTCATAGCTTTGTTACTAATAAGGTATATACTGAAAAGGCATTTTCCCATTCTAGATCTTAGTCTACTTGGAGTATGCCTGGAGTCAGAAAGACCTGAGTTCAAATCCAGCTTCAAACACTTACTAGAAATATGACCCTGTGCAAGTCACTTAACCCTGTCTGCCTCATTTTTCTCATCTGAAAAATGAGCTGGAGAGGGAGATGGCAAAAATTCTTTGCCAAGTAAACCTCAAATCAGGTCACAAAGAGTTAGGTACACAACTGAAAATGACTAAATAACAATGATACTTATCTATAAAATAAGGGACTAGAATAAGATGATTTATAAGGTCTCTTACAACTCTAAAATTCTGTGTTCTATAGGCCTTTCCAACTTAAATATTCTATGCCCCATGGTCTCGTCTGGTTCTAATATTTTTGATGCTGCTTGGCTCTCTCAAAACCCTTAGTGTTTAACTCAGCTGGGGCTGGAGGGTCTTAACTAGTGTAGTCTAGAAATGTTGAGGACCTCTAGAGAGGAAAGAAAAGTTGTTTTGACCTCTTATAGACTAGAGTACAAGTCCTTTGTACTTTGCATTTTTTGTCAGGTGAAACAGAGCTTCCTATATTCAGTGTATTGTTAACTTGAGGGTTTGCATGAGCTGATGGCTCTTCACCTATTCCTCAGAGACGTGGACTCGCGAATCACATAGAACATCAAAAGGCTAAGTGATGATGACCCAGTATCGCTAGATTAGCAAACTGGCACTGACTTCATCCTCGACCAAACTTTGTAGATGTCCCCCTCCCCACCTATAATCTTTTATACAGGTTTGGATCAGAGG